AGAGTGCTTTTTATTTTAGCTTCGACAATCAAATGACACCTACCGAGTGAAGGAAAAGTTTCCATCTTGTTTTCAGAAGATGAACGAAATGAACCAATGATCGAAAAGTGTGTTAGATTAAAATGTGCCTTTACAACTATGGGACTAGGCCAATTAGGATGAGGATGTCAGGATTCGTGCATAATGGCCGTTCATCTATCTATCTATTTTTTTAAAATATTTTTATTTATTTATTATTTTTTTGGAGCGATAGAGATATTTCATGTGCGTTGTTACGGTTTCTATTGTCTGATAGGTTAACGTTACTATCTACTTTTCTCTTGCTGGCGTTTATAAAAAATGCCATGCACTTTATTTTCAATTGTTTGGCATGTATCAGTAATGAGCAGCATCATATTGGTTTTTATATAATTTCTTTTTTCATTTTGCCGTACCGTTTTCCTTTAAGTTCAGGAAGATGCCCTCCTAGAAGAGCCGCCAGCCCTATTGCACCGTCTGCTTCTAAGATGACTTTCTCATACTCCAACAATCTCAGCATAGCTAATGCTATTAGATCTTCCCTGAAAGGGAAATACAGTCACACAATATTCCTTTTTCTTAGAAATCAAGGTTCTCTTCTGAATGGAAAGAACCTCCTTTCAAACCGCTCACAGAGCGATTGTAATTCTCGCTAAAGCATCTCTATGTGGTTGATATAGAAGTGAGGCAATCCTCATAAAAATGCTAACTGACTCATCACAAACATGGCTGTCTCAGACCAAACAACAGTTCTGGCATGAAAACTTTTGTTATCATTACGACAGTCTCATGATCATCTTTGACGGTGACATTGATTCAGATGCTTCGTTTCGCATGAACTTCGTAATCTAAATCTGCCTGTGAACATACTTTACAGTGATGCATTTGTCCATTAAATCCTCGGCGAGTCTGAGAGGACAGCTGCTAATCTCACTACTATCCATATCTGCAATTGAGGGTGTTCAGAATATCAAAACCATAAAAATTATTAACAATTTAAGTTAGAGCGCCATTTAATTGATTTTGCTGACACACTGCACCTAAACATCGAGATGTTAAACTGCCCAGTTTGTTGAAGGTCCATAAATCGTGATGGCCTGGTTCTTTAATGGAAGAGATGAATTGAAAATGTTATATGAGGTTTCTGGAGAGAGTATGTTCACACTGAAATAACTTACCGTCCACCTTTATCAAGTCTTTAGATAATACAGCTGTTTTCATTACGTTTCCTTCGTGGTGTGCCATAGCCACATCCAGGCTCCGTTCCCTTGTTACTGCCTGATAACAAACACAACTTAGTCACGTTTCAGGGTCGGTTAATACATGTTTTTCTCAGCGTTTTCCTGAGTGCATAAAAATATTATCATTCCTTATATAAAACTAGAGAATGCTTGTTACCCGAATAAAATGTTTGATTTTATTATTAACCAAGTCGTAAATTAAAAGAATTGAAGGGAGGTAAGGAAAAGCTGAGGCGATATGCGTTTAAATACTTACTCTCAGAGACTAACTAGAAAACGGACACATTCAGAGTAAAGTCAATCTCGGTATCTCTATGTCACACAAAAGTTTTAGGTAATATGGCAAAATAAATTTACGTAAGGAAAACCGTAGACCATATACAACTAGAATCATTTTTAAAAAAATATTAACGCTTACTATGATTTTTACAGAAGGGTAAAGCGTTTTGACAGCTATACAAGTCCCAGCAATTAGGGTCCCTCCTCCAACGGGAATGATTATAGCATCTACTCCTTCTAGCTGATCCACAATCTCTAATCCCATGGTACCTTGCCCGCTCACAATATCAGGGTTGTCGTTTCTGAGTGTATAAAAAATAACTAACATTCAAGATGGGTAATATCTATTCTATTTCAGTGCAAGTAACAAATAACCCTTACAACTAATTCCTTACAATAGGTGACTGATATAAACTTGATTTACGATGAAAGGATGACCGTACATTTACTAAAGTATCTTTTTAATTTTTGTGGGATCTTTTTCAACAATAAGGTATCCGGCTGATGTAAATGTATCTGGAAATTTGCAAATCTTATGACCATGAATTACATTTTTTTCCCTTGTATTGTGGTCCTCGACTCATGCACCGAAAAATGAACATCCTACCCACGATTTAGGTTCTTGTTCTTCACTATCTTGTTGATTTAGTGCCGATATAGCAAAAAAATTGTAGAAAATCTCTTTGGTTTTTAAATTTTAAGTAACCATTTTTCTCTTCCTCTCCCCTCCTTGTATTCTTTTGCATTCACGCGCGGTGTGCGTCATTTCACAAATTAGCCAATCACGTCAAAGAACCCTAACCTTGAAATTGGAAAACCGACGTGGACATTTTCGCGTACTTTCTGTTTTTCTTTGTCTAGTTTTAGTTGTTCTTGAGCTTTCGTTCGCGTAAATTTGTTACCACTTTGGAATTGTTAAAAAGAATCGAAGCTTTAATTTTTTAGCCAAATTATGTGGTTCATTTAATAACTTTAATACATATTTTCTACGGAATTTGGACTCTAACCTCTTTTTTCCTAAACGGAATTTTTACAAAAATATATATCTTGATGTTGAATTTGAAAGATGGGCATGTTTGAGTAGGATCCCATAGGACATGAAAAAGTTCAGACAAACCATGGAATACGCTTACTCATCGAGAGAAATAAGTCCCTTCTCAATTGCGATTTTCGTACCTCTCTCCAACAGCTAAAACAAAAAATAGAAATCAAAGTGAGTAAAAGACATTTAAAATTCGGGTAGCGTTCGGTCCATCGATCCTAGTTTCATGAAATCCAAATAAGAAACGTATAGCTAATCACTAGGGTGTTTTTAAAACTGTTTCAGTTATATTAGGAAGAGGTATATAGATAGCGCAAATATTAGAGCATTAAAAGATTTATATTACAAGTTTTATTTGACACTTGATGGCTTTATTACTAGTTGCAACTTGGACGGGATATTAAACGTGTGTTGGTTTTAAATACATAGCTGCTGATTCAACCTCCAGAAATACAGTTATCGAAATTATAATGAATATATTGACCTCACTCTCGTCCAGACCACATTCAGTGATGTCAGCGTCATATTTCTCGCACAACCTGATTTTAACAGGACATCTACTTTCTGGTAAAAGAACCGTAACAGGAATCCCGAGGGATTTCCCGTGATAGGCAATAGCGATGGCATGGTTACCAGATGAGGTGGCGATGACTCCAGATCTCTTTTGACTCTGTCGATTAATGACATCCACAGTTAACTCAACAGCTTGCTGTCATGGGAAGGAATGCGAGATCATTTTCTTTTTCATGAAAGTTATGGACGTAATGGGGGACGAATTATAATGACTTGTTCAAGCCTTACTTTCATGAAATGATACAGAGTGGCAGGTTGAAATTCTTGTATGCCATCGATTCGTATTTGAAGGAGTGACGTTGAAATATTTGACTTCATGACTAGCGCCGTGTGAAACTACTCAAATGAATTTACGAAATTATGCAAATACAAGATATCATACACCGTAGCATATGAACGTGAATGCATACAAAAACTCCATATCCGTTCACATGAGCAAATTGATGTGGATGTCTCTGAAAATGAAGATGATTAAAAATGACTGAAAATTAAACCTTGAAAATTTCCGGCTAGATTTTCCAAGTTACATAAGCAGCGACTTCGCTGGACTTATGCAAATAATTACTTATACTCTCCCAAGATAATAATGAGCTGCACCATGATTTCTTACCTGATGCAGTCGGAGTAATGCATAGCGAGCTCCTCTGTCATAAAAACTTCCAGATGGGTTCTGGTACTCTCTCTTGAAATAAACCTCTATGTCGTCTATCTCTGGAATCGATGCTGCTCTCTGCGAAAAAGTCACTTTCTCGTTTGAAATTTTCGTGAGTTTAATAGGGTGATATGTAAATACAGAAATGATGATCAAATGGATAGAATGATAAATAAATGGTCGCACGGATGGGATTTTATGATTATGTTGCAATAATGCAACATAATCTGGTTGGCTTTTGGGAGTAATTTTTTACGACAGTCAATCGAAATGCCCTCGAAATTTATTATTTTTTTACAAACCTCACATGGCGTCTTGGGAACACCTTCACGGATCCAAAACGCCGCGGTTACGATATTTGAAAGCGAAACAGAGGATACTCTCTTCATTCTTTCGACTCGGCCTCCCCACAACTTATCCAGATTCCACTCTTTGAGTTTTTCCTTCGCTCTGTTATATTTTTCTTTAAGTTCCGCCAAATCCGGCTTTCTAAAGGCAGATATATTGCTTTTACCATTCCCCAAGATGGAATGTCTTTTTCCGTACGTGTGAGGTTTGAAAGAAATATCATTGCTGCTCGTGTCTATCTGTGATTTAGGTGTTAGTGTTGAGAGTGACTCATACACGATTGGATTCAATGAAACGTGGCAATCTTGATCAAATAAAACAGTTGTTTCATTTTCTAATATCGCTACGGATTCATCTGTTAAGGTCGAAGTAGAATCAGACTCCATGATCTCCATAAATTTTCAGCGCGTTCACTTGAAAATGCGTCCGTTACGTCAGAAGATTTGACGTCGTCACCAAAGGTTGCGTCATAGTTTGTCTGTAACGAACTCAACATTTTCATTCCGTGTTAATCTTCACAATACTATGCCATCCACGTTCCCATGATTATAAGGTTTTATTCTATTCAAAGACAATGTTCTAAGGTGCCTGGAATAATTCAATTAATGCGATGACGATGCTTAGATGCGAAGAATTTCGTTAAGATTGCATCAATAATTCATTTAACTTCTTAAACAGTCTACACAACACTTAAAGAATTCCATTAAGATTGCGTCATTAATTCATTTAACTTCTCAAACAGTCTACACAATATTTTTTAGGCTTCCTTACTCGATCACAAACACAGATTCTGTAGAAGAACGGCTTCAAGAAAAACGGCAACAGTGATCTGACTTTGGGAAAAGCAATGATATCGAGGAGAGCGAAAATACTTTATGACGAGTCTTTGAATCCATTCGCTGAACCGCGCACATCTGTCGCGTTCTCAGAGCAGCTCAGAGACAAATTGAAACAAATGGGATTCGGTGGCGACACGGAAAAACCAGTTGGAATTGAGTTTGATGATATCGTCGCTGCCTCATTTCGAATCCGAAAAGGGGTCGGAAAGACGCCTTGCGAGGTAAATTTTATAAGACATTGTAACAATGGACGTTCCTTTGCGCGCGCTATGAAGTTTTCATCGAGCTGAAACAGAACGAAACGAGGATGCAGTCAAAAAATATACAAGTGAGCTATGTTAAATTCAATTTGGGGCGAATATATCTCCGGTCCGTTAACGCACATGTAGCAGTATCTCAAAAATGGTAACCTCTTTTTGAGGGAAGAATAATGAAGATTGTATAGTTCCCCTTAGTTTTGTCTCTCTTCGCCATTTAACCCAATATTCTGGAACGTAATAAGCTCGTTAAAACTGCTAGAGTAAAGCTACCATTCTAATATCGATTCTTTGCTCACCCTTACCTTTAGAAATGCAGTATTCCAGAACTTAGTACCATGGAAGTGTTTTTTAAAAAGGAAAACCTGCATCCGTCAGGGAGGTAAGGATTGTAATTCAGAGTTTGTTTGAAAATTTCAGTGGCATATCTATTAAAGTGAATTTTTAGCCAGCAAATAAAGAGTGCCCTATACATGTGTTCGTTTAACTATTTTCAGCTTTAAGGAAAGAGGAGCAATCAATTCCTTGTTACTATTATCTGAGGTAAGTTTTGTCAAAATTTCAGTAAGCGTTGATTTCTTCTTAATACCAGTCTTTATCTTTCGATTATTTGTTGTTAAACCATTAAGAGCACTTTTCAGTTTGATCATATTTACACTCTAGAGCCAAGTGCGAACAACAAACATCGATATCATGCCGAATCAGTGAATCGAATAAGCTTTCATTGCCAGGGATTTCGTGTATTTGTCCAACAAGTTAATAAAATGTCACGAAACATTAGCTACTGCCAATTTTGCGGTCGAATGCTCCATCACTGAGCTGCGTGAACTCGTCAGTGGATCATGTTATATACCGAGTTTATAGATGACAAACGTCTTACTTGTAAATGCCGGTGAGATGAATGATGTCCAGCACATCCCATGTTTATACAGAGTTTGAAAGATATCAAATTTTAAGCTCGGTCTTTTCTTGACGGAGAAACATTTTCAGGAACACAAGACGAAGAAAACTCCTAGGACATCGGACCTAAGAAGTTTAATGGTCTTCAATTAACTTCAACAATTTTAGGATCAAAAAGACCGAGGAGTCATAACGGCCACTCCTGGAAATCACGGAATAGCACTTGCGTTTCACGGGCAAGCCTTAGGGATTCCCGTCCACGTGGTTTTACCTGAACAGTCACCTTTGATCAAACAAACGATGTGCAAGAAATTTGGCGCCAGCATAATCATAAAGGGAAGCAACCAAGCGGAAGTAAGTCTTTCGTTGTCGTTTGTCTTGTCATTTTGTCTTTTTTTTTGCTTATTTATCTCATCATTTGTCATTCAGGCAAAAGAGTTTGCTACCAGCATGGCAACGGAAAAGCGTCTAGCTTATATCGAAGGGTGAGTGATACAGGTTACTGCTACCTCTTTGTTGTTGTTGCTATTGTTACTGTTATTATTTTATGGTATCGTTGTGTTACTCATTTATGGGGTTTCTACCAGATGATGTAGCATTTTTTATTTAGTATTTTTTTAAGTGATTCTCTTTCTGGGGAAAATTTTTGGTTTAATACAGCAAATGACTTCACTTTTAATCTTTCCTTTCCTCACCTTTGAAAAGACTTTGATTACAAAAAAAGAACTGTGCGGAAGGTGTTCAAGAACTTGTAAAAAAACGAACAAAGACACTTACGTAATAACTTTTTGTTGTTGTCGCGTAACGTATGCGACCTAGTGACATCCATTGCTGAAATAGCTTCGTTCGCAATTGGCAGTTATCGTAAAGTGTTGTATAATTCAGTACCAGAGTGTTTCTTGGCTCTTGAATTCCGTAGCCGTTCCGAAAGATTTCGAGGTAAGTTTAGATTTAGATCTGATCCGAAGGGTCTCAATAGTAGTTTAGTGTTTATATTTTGATGTTTCGTTATAAAAATAAATGCCCTTTTCAAATACCTCAGTCGCGAATGCTTAATTATGGAACCCTTACGAATTGAGGACCTTTGCTATTGATGATCAAAACCAATCATTTGTGCGTTAACTGAGCACTTCCTGAAGATATCCTTTGCAGAAAACCTTTAAAAACCTTTACCTTGATTAATTTTTTTTTATTACTAAATGAACAGGCACGATCATCCTCACGTTATCAGTGGGCAGGGCACCATTGGATTAGAAATCATTGATCAAGTGTGCAATGTGGATGCAGTTGTCCTCCCCGTAGGGGGAGGAGGATTGCTGGCTGGTGTTGCTCTCGCTGTCAAGACAGTGTACCCAGATGTTCAGATAATAGTAAGTTTAATAATACCTGCCACCGTTCTTACGAGTAAGTTAACTGCTTCGAGAAATACATTTTTTAGCTCTGAGTGAGAAAACAGTGGTAGTTGACTCGACAATTTGCTTTAAGAAAGCCGTGACATATTTTGACATTTTCATCTACTTTAGTACCGAAAAGCTATTTGTTAGGTTGTCTGAAGATGTTTCCCCCATGAATAGTCAATTACTTTGTCTTGATTTATATGATTACAGTTAAGTTGTTGTAAAGGGATTGTTTAACTTTTGAAAGGGTGTTGAATCAAAGAGGTGTCCAAGTTTTCAGACGGCAATTGATGCTGGTCATCCTGTCACGCTAAATATCGATCACCCTTCAGCTTTGACAGACGGTGAGTAAGCAGGTGCATTTAACTCTCGACCTTTTGAAGCCAACTGTCGTCTATGAAGAAACTTCAAGAGAATGTTCCAATAAAGGGAAACAAAAGTACATTCCAGCTTCCCCTTTCGTAACTTTATATCCTTCTTGGCACCTTCATGTCCTTTTTGTAGTGATGGTATTGTTACTGATGACTGTTTTTTTCATAATTTTGATGGTAATGTGGTGTGGTGACATTGTATGTTTTTTCGTTACCCGAAATAACAAAGCACAAAGAAACATGGAAAACGAATTTCGAGTAAAACGTGTATTGTGCTCCGCTTTGCGTCAAAAAATGGTGTCTTTTAAGCCTCAAGTCTTTTATTAAATTGTTAGTTAGCCTCGAGAATTGCGTTCCCTGTTGAATTGTCGTTACTTGAATTCTCACCGAGACTGTTTTCATTCCAATGCATTTAGCGCTGAACCTTCCTAAAGTGGGGAAAAACGCTTTTCATATCGCAACAGGACTTGTAGACAAACTTGTAGCTGTCAGGTAAATGAATTCCTTAAGGATAGCTATTTTGAGAAACAAAGAAACCATAAAGAATTACGAAAAGTGATTTCTTCGGCATCGAATACCCTTGTGGTCGATTCTGAAACGTAACGTTGTGGAGAAAACCCTAATTTGCATTACAATTAGATCGAGGAAGAATAATCCTGAGAATGGAAAAGGGTCACGTGCTTGAAATATTTGTCATGTGATGACAGGAAACTAAGCGAGAGTTTTCTCTGTCTCTACATAATTTTTATTTGATGCTTGTAAATGCAGTGCATACACGAGTTGATCACAGAAATTGCACGCCAAATTGTGTACCCGTTCGCGTTACTCTAGAGCCGAATCAAGGAAAGTAGACTTTCGTTGGCCTCTACCTCTTGCTTTTGCCAATAAACAAGAAAAGCAGTTTATTTTGAAGCATTAATTGTGTTGCTTGTTTATCTTCACCCAATGATCGATTCATAGTTGATTATAAATAAGTACAGAGAGGCGGAGACACCCAGCGTATTCCCGCCTTTCTAGATGATGCAACTATCACATCATTCTAGAAACTGGTAGTTCATACTATTCCTAATCATATGACCAATTTATTGAAATCCCTTATTGTCACACATTTCATGCAATAATCTACAGAGATAGTGCGGATAGGTCTTAACTGTGCTTTTAAGAACGACATTAGAGCTTAATCCAAAATATAAACTACCTTTCCCTGCAGTGACGATCATATTAGTTTAGCCGTACTGAAGCTCATAGAAAATGAACGTGCCGTCACTGAGGGATCTGGGGCAGCTGGTGTTGCAGCCTTGCTGGGTGGGTATCTACCAGAACTTCATGGCAAACGGTAAGTTTGCAGATCTGAGTCCATACAGTTATAAATCTTATGCATCAAGTATTCTTGTTGAAAATGTTTGACAATTTAGCAGTGGGTTTCCGGCAGCTTGCTGTAGTAATTAGCACTCGTTTCGTGATTTGAACTGCGTTTAAATAATCTGTCAGCTGAGCTAATCTCCAGAGGAGAGGAAATTTACTTGAAACGTCGGGGGAAGGAAAAATTGTAGTGTTTAAATGAGAGAGGTGTACCATTACAAAAGGTTTCGCACAGCGAGGGTCTGAGATATAGGGAATTTGTGACAAACGCGCACCACACCCTTAAGATATTGATGAGTCTTCTAATTAAGAAAGATTATATTATCTCAAACTGCTCCTTTGTCTATTTGCAGAGTAGTCGTGCCTCTTTGTGGTGGAAATATCGATCCGTCTGTACTAAGCTCTTGTATTGAGAAAGGACTTGCACTAGAGGGGAGACTGGTGCGATTTACAATTACCATTGACGAAAAATCTGGAGGACTGGCACAAATAATTACGTTATTAGCCTCCGTAAGCGCACGGTATGGGAGGAAGGAAATTTAAATACAACTGTGATGCGAAATTATTAGCGGCAAAGATTTTGAGTCAAACTTGTATTAGCAAGTTTTATCGAGAGAGACGAGACGAGTATTGATCATGTAGCATCTAACTTTAAACAAACTTCCATAGACTATTCAGCATCTGAGACAAATTCTGGATTTTTTTTTTTGTAGGATACGAGATATGACTCAAGAACAAATTCTGACTGACAACAATATGTTTACGTTAAAGGTAAAGTTTTTTTTTATGAAAAATGATAAAACAAATTACCAAATGTGGTTTGTGTTGTTTTGAAATTTTTTAGGGCACACAAAAGTCTATGAATAATGATAGGATGTAACTGCATATAAAAGAGGTATGATGAGATTTAAAAAGAAAATGATCAGCCCTTTCATTCCCAAATGGGACCAAAAAAAATTTCTCTCTACAAGATTAGAGCCTCGCCATACTCAGGAATATCCTGATTTTGCGTTCACGTTCGACACATTAAACTGATGATGTGATGACAAAACTAGTTTCGTCTACAATTACCTTTTGTTTTAATACTATTTGAACGTTCTTGCGTGCCTTTCCAAGCAAAAAGATGGTGATAATAAAGTAAATGTCAACTGGAAATATTATTTAATTTGAGACCGACCTTCTGGAGGGTAAAAAAGAAAACAGATATTCACCTAAATATTTACCTCAAAACAAAGGATTTTTCGAGTTCGAGGGGAGAAGGAAGGCAGAGATGGTTCTTGAAAATTATCATCAGAATTTTATGTGAATTCTTTTCGAATTCAAAAAATAATCCCACTGTTTCCTCTCCTACTCAGTGCAACATTTTGGTCGAGGTTAGAGATTCCAAGCATGCGCAGAGTGTCAAGACTTCCCTTGAGTCTTATTACAAAGATGTGTTATGGAACGCCACAAAAAAGGAATCGGCTTAATGAACGTGCGTGAGGACCGAGTATAAACCCTCGTTTGGCCCAAATATTTCTAAAGAATATTGTATGTGAGTTGTAGGTTTTCAATTGAGTCTAAAAACATCTAAGATTTCCTGGTTGCCTTTCTTCGCTTTGTAATTGGTCCAGAAAACTTGTGTCACTTACTCGATCAGACTCAGAAGAAAACCAATTGTAACTTTGACGCTGCATTTCCGATTCCTGATTCCATTTTGAGTTCTCATTGACTATTAAAAGTATTTCCCTTTCGTCTGGTTGGTCGTTGTGATTAGTTTGATTTTGGTCATGCACCACTTAATGGTGAGTGTTAAAACAGCTGGAAATAAAAATTTATACTGGAAACAAAATTGACTCTGAAATCTAACAAGTGCCTCGTCAGGCATGACAAAGATGCCATGAGTATTTCCTTTTGTCTTTTTGGTTGGTATTGATAGCATATGTTTTCTTTTGTATCAGTTGTTAAGCTAAATAGCCCTTAATAAGTAAATCATTTCTTATGGCATGTTTTATAAAGCTCTAAAAGTGGACGAATGAAATAAAAGAATGGTTTGCTCAGTCGTGTTTCATTCTTTTCAAAATATTATGGATTTCTAGTGATGTAATTCTAATTTTAGAAGCGTTCAATGTTCATTTCAAAAGATTTCAATTCATAATTTATTAGGGAAACAATAAAAACAATCAACCTCGGCATTTGAAAGGTTGTACCGTCCCGATATAACACCTTGAACTGTTTTGACAAACTTCGCCCCCTGCATGTCAGGACAAGTACGAGGTGAAATCGTCGCTAATTAGCAAACAAGACAACGGTATTCACTTGTGCTCGCTTAGCTTCGCTTGCCAACTTCTGGCCAGCAGACAGGAAGGAATATTCAAGTTTATAGTGCACTTCTCCCCCCGTTCATGCCAAAACTTTGATTTTCATTGTTGTTTGCTTATTTTTCATCTCGAATAATACTCAGTTACAAGGGTAAAAGTAAAATATTGGTTTCTCTTACCACCTATGGACTCCTCACACCGAAATGAAAGCCCCTGATGCTATTTTTGGAAGTGGTGTATTCATCTGAGCAAAATTGTTTAAAATCAGTCGAGGAAAAAACAGTCGATGGAGCCTTTGAAAAGTTCCATCTATGGGCTTCATTAATAAATACGCTATTTTTGCTCTTGAAAACAGTTATTAAGTTATTCTCAGAGATAAAACGCAATGACAGTCCTCTTTCCTACAAAGAAAAGGTAAAAAACTCCGAAGTTAAGGGAGTGGAATATACTTTGCCAGTGTCATTGTATTTCCCGACATGTTCCACGTTTATCAAAAGGAAAATACTATCGAAACGCAAACTATTTCTTGTTGTTAGCTGACCCAGTTGCAGACCTGGATTTCTTTACTAACTCTATTACTTTAATATCCCCTTTCTCGGTATGTTAATCAGCCAACAAAATCCCTCGCTTTAAGCGAACTTCGCATAAATTTATTAAAGTATTTTTATTAACTAACATTTGGACTGAAGTTTTATTTTAACTGATGCATAAGAACGTAGGACGAACCTATCTTAAATGTTAATCCCTTGATTTCTCATGTTGTGGTGTAAATTGCGGAAAAATTGCAGCAAAGTTTTTTTCTGTTGTGAACTGTAGCAAGTGCATGTTGCGGAAACTGAACATTCTGCTCAAGAAAGGTTTGAAATTGTTATATCTTAGCGGCTATGTTTGGTAGTCGCGATATACTGCGATTTAAGGCAAATTTTATACGGATGCTAGAATATTAACGAAATGTCAACCGTAAAACGAGTTAATAATCCTCCCAAGACTTTTAAGAGTTAAGATCCTTTAACACTCAAAATATTTAAGCGTAGAAAGAGAAACGCCACCATAACAATTTTTGACGCATGTACTTTATTTTTCAACATTCCTATTTTTTCCTTCTCTCTTTTATATATTGACATCGAAAAAAACTAATTCTTCGAAAAGCGAATGGAAAGTGTTTTACACAAATAAAACCGCTCTTCGTAACAGGAAAGGGGACCTTTGATAAATTTCGAACGTGTGTCATTTTTCAGGCTGTCTTCAGTAGGTTTTAGTTTCACATGTTGTTATTTGCTAATCATTCCATATTCAGCCCTGTGTCCTGAGAGCGTTTCGTTGTCTTTGATCGCCGTGAGACATCCTTTGCGGCCTCCACACAGATAGCTTGTGTTTCCCTGCAAATGCGATCTAAAGACTGGTATGCCTGAAACAGTCGAATAAAAAAAAGATGTTTAAGACTGCAGTGTACTCTAGGTGCAAATTATAGAATCAGAGCGAAGAAGAATAAAAGGAAAGCTACTCCAGGTTCAAATCCTGCGCGAGGAGGATTCTTAGAGAGGTATTTTAGATTTTTTTTTTTATTTTGACTCGAATAGCCAAGTAATCTTGTATATTTTTTCTCACGTGAATATGATGGCTCGAATCCTGATTTTCAGCCAGGAGTTTAGTAAAGATAGAGGAAACCGAATCAGTTCCCTAGGAGGAAGCCTATAAGCTCGGAATGCTTCTATGATAGGCATCAAAATTTTATAATATTATGCAATGTTTTGATACCTTTATCATTTCAAACTTAACATACCGCTGAAAATTTGATTGTCTTTCAAATCCTGTTTGTCACGAATTGCCCAGTATTAATTCAACAAGAACTGCATTTGCTATATATTTATATTTCAGCAGTTAAAAAAAAATAGAACTTATCTCAGATTTAGAATTGGACAGCGGTATCCTCTCATTTTGGGAATATTCAAGTGAAATTAAAATTAAGGACAGGATACTTTATTGCTTCTGAGAATCAACTTTGACTAAATTAATGATCGAATATATTGTTCCTAACCGAAAATTAAGGTTGTCTTATTTTCAAGGTGAGGTATTTGAATTTTATAATATTTTCCACCTAGAATTCGGATTCTTTTAAAGCCTTCTTTTTGGTAGATTTGGACAAAGTTTCGGAAGCGAATGAACAATAGTATTTACTGATACAATGAATAGACCTGAAATATTGAAAACTTTGACATAATAGCCATTCCGGCTAAAAAGCAGTCTCTTTTAGATGCCTTTTCGTTGTTTAATTTTTCACTCCTTTAATTTTCGCCTTGTGTCGTTAGAAGATTTCGTTCACTTCGACTTATTTCACATTTGCGTGGGGATTTTAACTCATGTATTCATTAAAGCTGAAACAAGAAATCGAAATTGCCATAAAAATTAACGGTAGAAAAATTTCTTAGAGAAAATGAATTAAAAAATTTCAAATTAATTTTTTTTTCAAACGTTCAAAAATGGAGAATTTTATAATTTTGTTTTCGCTATTCTATTTGGTTACCGCTCATAACATCTTTTTGACCAAAAAAAAGGCTTTGAGAAAAACCTCTAACAACACGGCATCTAAAATATGAAAATAGACTGATCCCAGAAGCGAAATACAGTTAACTTAAAAATTCGTATCATTTGCTTTCAGAGGATAACAAAAGTTTTTGAAATCAATTTTTGATTGTGAAAAAAAGTTATCTACCTTCGTTAGCTGCCTCTTTCCTACGTTTCCGATTCCAGCCGTAAAGCACTCGGTCTGTGAAATCAAGGCTAACGTGAAAAGCAGGCCAAAGATCATCATCGTGGTCTTCATGTTTACTGCAAGTGAGGAAGGTTACTCAGTCGGGTGGACTCAACTGCAGACTCGATATGAGTTTGTTATAAAGTATTGTAGTTAATCTAGGTTTGTCGCCTTCTTTTATAGCCGCATGCCAAGAAAATTGGCACTGAATTCAATAGAGTTAAAAAACTGTTTGCCCTCAATTATTCCTTCCTGGCTAAAGAAAGGAAGAACAAAACCCAATTGCAGCCATTAAGCGTTCCTCATCTGTCCCATTTCCGTAAGCTTTCTTAATTCTTGGGACAATTTGCAAGCACAAATCACTTCCGAAAATAATGCCGGCCTTGCCTGAATGGTTGAAGACGACGCGACGGGTTTAATACGCGACCAATAATTACAAAATGTTTAAGAAGTGCCGCAAAGGTTTGCGTGGAATGTCCAAGTCGACGGAAATTACAAATAATTGTAATGATTCCGAGGGAATAGTTGTACACTGAGATGATTGGAAAGACAAACATTTGCCACCTAGCTTTTGTTTCACTCCGGAAAACTTTAGAAATATTCTTGTTACACCTCTTGGATGTGACTTCTAGAGCGAAAATTTGTTTTATATTAGATACTCCGCCTTTA